TGTACCGTATAAGATCCTACAGACAAGTAGCATCCAGTCTGTTGGTCTAAATGTCTGAGGCTACTGAACTTCCATTTGGTTCCGGTTTCTGCTGAGGCCCAGTAGGCAAAGCAGTGTTCTGCAGACACCAGGGGAAACACAGTGATAGCACACAGTACCTCCTCTGAGGAGCTGGAAGAGGACCCTGCTCCTAATAGAACCTGTGCTATCTGTAAGTGGCACCATCAAGAGCAAGGTGTACCCTGCTACTGGTGTCTCAGCCTCCCTGTTAGCTGGGATCGCTGGTGGGCACCAAAGCCCCTGGCTAATCTTTGTATTTTTAGTAAAGGTGGGGTTTCTCCATGTTGGACAGGCTGGTCTTGAACTCTTGAGGTCAAGTGATCTGTCCTTCTGGACCTCCTAAAATGCTGAAATTTCAGGCATGAGCCACCATGCCTGCTCCACAGATTCTTTTTTCAGTAAAGGTTGTTAGAATTCATCCCTTGGTCCAGTCTCCTATGTAAATTTCTCTAACCATTCATTGACCATGATATATGATGAGATAAATTAATATTGCAGCAATGCTTCTGGAAAGTAGTTCTGGCAATTTTTGAAGATTTTTGGGAAAAAGTTTTAATTACTTGCCCTGACTAGGTCAGAGGATATATGATGAAGATCTACCAGATGATGCAGATTTTGTCCCATGGATCTGAAAAGTAGGCTCATCTACTTCTGAGGCGACTTAATCTAGGGCCTGTTAGAACATTCCCATCAGAATATCATATTCTTACACTGAGAATATTTTACGTCCTTGTGCTATGACTGCACACTGATTTGGTCTTGTGTGAAGTGTGATTTGCTTAATGTGACCTGCTCTTCTGAATTTGTTTACAGAAGATCGAAAAGATCACGATGAAAAACAGAAATGCAGAGACAGCAAAAATAAACTTCTTACGAGTCAAGTGGCCTACTACCTGGGCTGCCGGCTGAAGATGGAAGGTAAGTTCTATAGGTTCACTGTCATGAAAGTGCTGAACAATGTCCTGTCTTGTCTATGAGAAATGATACACTCTTTTCTTCAAAGTTAATTTCATTCTTCCCATACTTCTAGGAAAATAACAGTGGGTATTTTAACATTTAGTTAAAGATGGAATACAGAGGCCAAACTATTTAGCAATTTTCCATGTCTACAGTAAGGCAGCTGTGGGTCTAAGTTTAAAATCCCAGCTATTGATTCCTGACACAGGCACAGAACCACCTGTTCTTCTCAGCAAGAGGGTAAATCATGTTTACAGGAATCCTCTCTGTACCATATAAGATCCTGCAGAACTCATAAGATAATGATAGGAGGGTTTATGTCCTGGCTTCAAGGTGACTGAGTAGCTAAGACAAGTTGACTTTAAGGAGATCAGGAGTGGAGATGAGAAGAGTAAAAGCGGGGAAACGACATCTTCAAATCAATAGGCAGGGCTGTCAGTGACATCCCTCAGTCCTGATTGAACTAATTTGATGTCACCAGTTTCTAATTCATTGTGTGTTTGGGTTTCTTCTCCCCAGTCCCTGGCTTTCTGTGTTCTGCCCCAAACATCAGCAAGGTGGCATCTGACAGGCCTCCTTCCAGAAAAAACACAGAGTTGAACGTTCCAGAAGGCATTGAGAAATCCTGCTCTGAACAGGAAGATAACAAACCAAATATTGGAGTCAGCAAAAATAGACTTCTTATGAGTCCGGTGGACTACTCCCTGAACTATCTGCTGATGACATACAGTAAGTCCTATAGTTTGACCACCACGAAAGTGATGAATGATGTCCTGTCTTGTCTGGAGAAACTAACCGCTCTCTTCATCAAAATTAATTACTTCCTTCCCATATTTGTGGAAAATAGCAGTGGGTATTTTAACATTTAGTTAAAATGGAAGACAGATGCCAAAATATTTAGCAACATTTCCACATCTGCAATAAGGTGGGTGTGGAGCTGGGGTTACAATCCCTGCTATTGATTCCTGACCCAGGCACAGAACCACCTGTTTTTCTCAGCAGGAGGCTGAATCCATGTTTACAGGAATCCTCTCTGTACCGTATAAGGTCCTACAGACAAGCAGCATCTTGTCTGCTGGTCTAAAGGTCTGAGGCTACTGAACTTCCATGCAGTTCTGCTTTCTGCTAAAGACTCAGTAGGCAAAGCTGTGTTCTGGGGATCCTGGGGGAAACTCGGTGATAGCAGACATTACCCACTGTGAGAAACTTAAAGGGGACCCTGCTCCTAATAGAACCTCTGGTATCTGTAAGTGGCACCATCAAGAGCTGGGAGTACCCTGGTACTGGTGCCTTAGCCTGCCAATTACCTGGGATCCCCGGTGGGCACCACCACACCTGGCTAATTTTTGTACTTTATGTAGAGGCAAGGTTTCACTATGTTGGCCAGGCTGGTCTTGAACTCCTGAGGTCAGGTGATCTGCGTGCCTGGGCCTCCTAAGTTGCTTGGATTCCAGGTGTGAGCCACCATGCTGGCTCCACAGATTCTTTTTAAAGTAAATGTTGTTAGAATTCATCCGTCGGTCCAGTAGCCTATATAAATTTCTCTAAACATTCATTGACCATGATATATGATGTGATAATTAGTATTGTAGCAACCCTTCTGGAAAGTAGTTAGGGCAATTTTTGAAGATTTTGGGGGAAAAAGTTTTAATTGTTTGCACTGACTTAGGTCACAGGACATATGATTAATATCTACAAGATGAGAGAGATTTTGTCCCATGGGTCTGAAAAGCAGGCTCATCTACTTCTGAGGTGACTTAATCTAGAGCCCGATAGAACATTCCAGTCAGAATATCACATTATTACACTGAGAATATTTTATGTCCTTGTGCTATGACTGGACACTGATGTGGTCTTGTGTGAAGTGTGATTTGCTCAATGTGACCTGCTCCTCTGAATTTGTTTACAGAAGATCAAAAAGATTACGAGAAGAAACAGAAATACAGAGACAGCAAAAATAAACTTCTTATGAGTCAAGCGGCCTGCTACCCAGGCTGCCGGCTGAAGACAGAAGGTAAGCTCTATAGATTTACCGTTATGAAAGTGCTGAACGATATTCTGTCTTTTCTCTGAGAAATTGAACACTCTCTTCATCAGAATTTATTAAATTTTCCCCATACTCCTAGGCAAATATAAATGGCTCCCTTAACATTTTGTTAAAAATGGATGAGAGAGGCCACAGTATGTAGCACCTTTTCGACGTCTGCAGTAAGGCAGGTGTAGGACTAAGGGTAAAGTCTCAGCTGTTCATTTCTGACACAGGTGCACAACCATGTGTGTTTCTCAGCAAGAGGATGTTGATTTCTGACACAGGCACAGAAGCACCTGTGTTCCTCAGCAAGAGGCTAAATCATGTTTACAGGAATCCTCTCTGTACCACCTAAGATCCTATAGACAAGTAGCATCTAGTCTGTTGGTCTAAATGTCAGGCTACTGAACTTCCATTCAGTTCCCATTTCTGCTGAGGCCCAGTAGGCAAAGCAGTGTTGTGGGGACACTGGGGTAAACGTGGTGATGCCACACAGTACCCACTGTGAG